TTGTGCGGGCAGGAATGGAATTTTAGTCTTGATGCAGAATGAGCGGAACTGCTGCCAGTATGGTTCGTAAGTCTTGATCGTAGATTCCGCACGCGTTTGCAGCATCATTGTGAGCAATTGGCTCTACAGCGAGCGGAGTAATCCTGAAGCGATTAGAGAGGACGCAAACAAATATGTTAACGGAAGGAGATGCGCAAGGCCATCATCATGCTATGGGGGAGGCCGGAACCCGAGAATGTTGTGGTGTGCATGCCCGGTGCAAGGCATTGACTTCCGTGAGTAAGTTTCAGGCAATCACGGATCGGCGAGGCCCAGGCGGGTGGCGAGGGTTGGAGAAGTGGCCACCAAGTAGCCCCGGGCCAGAAGGGGACGATGAGTGTCACTGAGACTGATGTCCTTTGTGCGTGGTGAAGGACTGCCGGGATCAATTGTGGTGGTGGAAAAGCGAAACATTGTTCGTCAGCCCAGGATGTTGCGAAGGCATTGATCGCTAATGCCTTGGGATGTGGGTGTTCGCAGTAGAATCGGGGGAGCTTCGCATTCGCAGCACTGGCAAAGAGATCTATAGAGTGTGGCCCCCAACGTCGCTCGAGAAGATTAAACCATGGGGCCTTCAAGGTGTAGTCATCTCGGTCGAGAGTCTTCGAGAGCTCGTCCGCGAGCGTGTTAAGCTCGCGAGGTATCCATTCCATGATCAAGCGAATGCGACGAGTCATGCAGGTGCGGATGATGGCTTTGCATGCGGTAGTGAGAAAGCTGTTGCGTGATCCACCCTTTTTTAGAATAAAGAATACGCCCTGGTTGTCGACACGCACGAGCACATGCTTGTTCTGGATGAAGCTGGTGAAAGTTTGCAGTGCCCAGAGCACCCCCTCTAACTCACGACGAGTACTGGACGTGCCAAGTAGTTCCGGGGGCATGTTCGCGCAGGCCTTATGAGTCGTCGTGGAGAATGTGTCGAGTGTGGCCCCCCAGTTGTGCGCGCTGGCGTCGACGTGAATGATAGCGTCGTAGCTACCCCGAACATGAAATGGGGCTCCATTGAAGTGGTCGAACTCGGTTGACCAGAACTCCAACTCTTCGCAAGCACTCGGGGACAGTAACAACTTGCTATTCCATGAAGACGCATCGTTGATGGTTTTTAGTAAGGCATGACTGAATGCTCGCGATGTCGCCCCACGGGCAAGGGTCATGGAGGCGAGCATGCCTGTGATGCGTGCAACTTGCCGTACTGGGACTTTGTGCTGTGCACGTCCTGCTACCAATAATGAAGCGATGGTGGATTGCAGGACGCTTCGTCGCTCGGTGCCGACAGAAAATTGTCCCCGCTGGGTATCGAGCTCCAATCCTAGGAATCTTACTTGCTGAGTAGGATGGAGATGAGACTTTTTGGCGATGATCACGAGGCCCGCTTCTCTTAGGTCCGTGATCGTGCGGGTGCAGACATCTCGAGCCGCGGCTTCTGTGTGGCACAGAAAGAGGATGTCATCTACATAGGGAATGACGCGGACCCCTGTTGCTCGCCATCGACGTGCCAATTGCTTGATCAATTGAGTAAAGACGAAAGGCGCCGTCGCTAGTCCGAACGGAAGTGATCTGAAACAGTACGAACGCCCCTCGAACTAAAAGCCCAAGAATTTCCAACAGGACGCGTGGATGTCAACGTGGTGGTAACCCGACTTGAGATCAATTGAAAACATCCAATCCCCCGGATGTGCAAGTTCCGCCACGCGAGATAGTCCTTCGTACTTGAACTTCGGAATGCACAGCTCGTTATTAACTTTGCGTAAATCTAGGATGAGGCGACACTTGTCTCGCTGCTCGACGACGTTGAGGGGGCTAATGCATGCAAGCTCCGATGCTGGCACCTCGATTGCTGCGCCGGTTTGAAGGAGGTCTATGATGGCTGATCGCGTAAAATCCATGTGAGCATGGGTTCCAGCATGATTGGAGCACTGAAATGGTTGTGGCGGTCCTTGTTTCCACGGCATCCAGTAGCCACGTTCGATAATTGATAAGATAAGGCTGCTCGTACACCATGTTCGCCACCAAGCCAATGCGGATCGCAAGCGCCCTCGCATGACGAAAATTGTCCTATCCGTCACTGCGTACTCGAAAGGGTCGTCTTGTTGCCCCAAGGCATGCATCGGCAGGCCTGCACATGGCAGTATACGAAAATGCAACACATAACAGTTAGCATTTTTTATATTTTTTTTAAATCCAAGCAAGCGTTGGCGCTCGAGTGGGATAACCCCTCTTGTAAGCACGAAACCAGGACCCTCTTGATGGCTCCCATGAAAGCCCGTTTCCAAGAACTCCTAGAATTCCTTTGCTAAAAGATCAACTTCATGATGCTCTGGAGAGCTTCTAGGCAAACGCCTTAGACCCCAAATGGTCTTTCCCCTAAGGGCTAGCCAACCGGCAATAAAAACCAGCCCAAGGGCACGGCCAATAGCCTTCATGCGGTTATGCGCCCCGTCGAGTTTAAACCACCGGCGCGGGTCCGTGAGGACCGTGCCCACCAGCAGGGCATGCGTTGGCAGTGTGGCCCGGCTGGCCACAGCGGAAACAGGTGCCGCGGAAGCCCCTTGCATTGCAGCCAGGGGCCGTGTCGAATTTGCCACCAGACCCCGTGGGGCCTCGGCCTCCAAGGGAAGAACCGCGACCATAGGAGCCTTGGGCGCGGTTCATCGCTGCCACATCCGCGAGCGCCTGCTTGAAGGGGCGCGAAGTCAGCACATTTTTCTGCTGGTACAGCTTGAAGCGGTGCGCCGTCTTGAAGTCGGAGGCGTCGGCGACTTGAAGGAGTTGGAAGCAATCGGCGATGAGCGCGTACGCCTCTTCGAAGTGCTCGAGAGCGCCAGCGGTGTCGCCGTGGCGTATCTTGTGCTCCGAGTGCTTCAGGTACGCGCGCAGGTCCTCCAGAAATTCCGCTTGCTCGCGTACTCCGGCGTGGTGAAATGAGGAGGCGGGAATGGTGGGATTGGTGGAGGGGAGTGGAGGAAGGTGCTCAATGGGTGCAAGAAAGTTGTTGTGTGCATGAGCCTCACCCGCTTCGTCTTCTGAGTTGCTGCCGTCGTTGTTGTTGTTGGGCACCGCAGCAGCAGCATTTTCCCTTTCGGCGCGAGGGACTTCGTGTGCGCGAGCATGACGCGCCAAATCGTTTCTTGCATTTGCGTTTTTAGCAGATGCAGAAATTGTTGTTGCTGTAGCCGTACCCGCCGGGGATTGCTGCTGTAACAACGCCAAAAACGCTTGGACCTGGTCGTTGGTCAATGTCGGAGTCGATGCAGGGTCAACCGTCGCGTCAGACGAAGACCCCAGTCGGCGCCTCTGGCGCTGACGCGACGGTCCAGCCACAGGTGCTGGCGCGTGCACAGCGTCAGGCGCGTGTGGCACCACAGGTGCTGCAGGTGCCTCCGTCGCCACTTGCGCCACAGGCGCCGCAGGCGCCCCTGGCGCCACTGGCGCCACAGGTGTCGAGGGGTGCTGCTGGTTGGCGTTTTGGTTGACTTCGCCATTGCGCAGCAACAAATCGACGCCAGTGGGCGTGACATCTTCTTCTTCAGCCCGTCGCTTGTTGCGGCGATCGCCCGAAATTTCACGGGCGTTCTTCTCGTTGTCCGAACGGTTCGGGGCGTTGCCGTTAGAAGCCTCGCAACGATTAAGCGGAGTGTTGGGCGCCATTGAAGCCTGGTTGTGGTTAAGAATGTCCGACAGCAGCGTAGAAGGAGATTGAAAGCGAGCAAGGGTTTTCACCCTCGCCAGGTTGAAGTCCGAAAAAATCGGGAGGGGACTGGAACCTCCGAAAAAATCGGGATGGGTCTCGGAACCAGGAATTGAACTTGAGCGATTGTATAAATGAGAGGCGTGGGTGGGGGAAGAATGACCCCAGCCCACATTATATATTCGGAGAAGGCGAATACCGCGCTTCGACGATGCACAAAATTGCATTACAGTCAGCTTCGCTTTCAAAATACGCAAATTTGAAAGCGATAAACGCTTAGAATTTTTTCATATATAAGACCCTAGGGTATTATGATAATCACCCCTAAAAAGGCTGGGGGGTATAATTATATGGTATACTTTTTAGAAGACCCGGGTCTGTTCATATTGACATTTATAAGAATGTAGTTTTGGAGCTCAAAGAAAAGATTTGGAGTTGCTCCGTTTTTAGCTCCTCCCTAAAAAACTCGAATTGGTCTCCACGCGGGCCGAACCCACGTCATCACAAACCCTATCTGGGAGCCTACTCCCATTGGCCACCAACACCACTTGGTGTTCACACGACAGCGCAGGGCACCGTTTGATGGCCTCGGCCTTCACACCCCATGCACGCTTCGTGCGTTCTACAGTCCTGGAAAGGGCGGGATCTTCCAGACACCCCTACTGCATTCTGGCACGGATTATGACCATTTTCAATTGCTTGTTTGTAAAATCCACACTTCTCTAGGATGTGGGGGGGTCTTATAATGTTAGGGGCCATTTAGGGGGTACAACTCAGATGTACTCAAATAGAGTACCCGGGTCCGTATAATAGATCCGGGGGTTTAAAAGTGGGGGGGGTCCTATATACGGGGGATTACGGGTACGATTGACACGATGTAAATTACAGCACATCAGTCAGATGCTTCACACCCACTCCAATCTATCACACGTCATTCAGAACAACGCCCGCACGGAGCAACTCTCTGCGAGCCCTTTCACCAACCTTGCTTGCTTCCACCTTCAACTCAAGTAGCTTTGGGAAGCTTCCCAGCAGCCCTCCAATGCCATGTGCAGTGATAGACTCACACTCAACCATAGTCAGATGTGTGAGCATCTCCAATCTGCTTCTTGCAACCACCCGGTCTGAAAAGTCCTCACTGTGTTCCACGGTTAGGGCCACCAGCATGGGGCAGGCACGCAGCAGCAGCAGCAGCTGCTCCTCCTTCAGCCCGAAGCACGACACCAGTGTGAGGCGCTTCAGCCGCCCAAACGCAGCAGCAAATGAAAGCGATTCAAAGGACTGCGGCTGAGAGCCTGGGCTTGAAATGGCAGAAAGAGAGACGCGGGAAGTGGAGAAGGAAGAGGAAGAAGAGGAACAGGGAAGGGATGCAGGAGCGGAAGAGAGGCACATGAGAGGCGATTCCGAGGGAAGGGATGGAGGCAGCCAGGTAGGCTCGGGAGTGCAGATGAAGTGAAAGGCTTGTAGGGTCAAGGAGTGTAAGGGAGGGCAGAACACCTCCACCGGAATCCCACTAGAGATGCCACTCGACCTGCCTCCCAGGTTTCGTGCCCTTCTGCTGCTACCCATTGAGTTCCTTTTGCCACTGTTTTTTCTGTGGCCTGACTGTCCTCCCTCCCTTGAGACTTTATTCCCTTGCATTAGCTCCCCTTGCATCCCTATTTCTTGTGGCTGTGATATTCCTCCTCCCGTTTTCTCCGCTATTGCGGCTGCATCCCCGATCACTGCTGCCCCATCTGCTGGTGCTGCTTCTGTGGCTGCAGCACTCGCACCAGCAGCAGCACCAACACCCGCAGTACCAGCATCACCAGCAGCATCAGCAGCATCACCACCAGCCGCATCAGCAGCATCACCACCAGCCGCATCAGCAGCAGCAGCATCAGCGGCATCAGCATCAATAGCATCAGCGGCAGCATCAGCATCAGTAGTATCAGTGGCATCAGTGGCAACACCCGCAGTACCAGCATCACCAGCAACATCAGCAGCATCAGCACCAGCAGCATCAGCAGCATCAGCATCAACAGCATCAGCAGCAGCATCAGCAGCATCAGCATCAGCATCAGCAGCAGCATCAGCAGCAGCATCAGCAGCATCAGCAGCAGCAGCAGCATCAGCAGCATCAGCAGCAGCATCAGCATCAGCAGCATCAGCAGCAGCATCAGCAGCAGCATCAGCAGCAGCATCAGCAGCAGCATCAGCAGCAGCATCAGCAGCAGCAGCAGCAGCAGCATCAGCAGCATCAGCATCAACAGCATCAGCAGCATCAGCAGCAGCATCAGCAGCAGCATCAGCAGCATCAGCATCAGCATCAGCAGCAGCATCAGCAGCAGCATCAGCAGCATCAGCAGCATCAGCAGCAGCATCAGCAGCAGCATCAGCAGCAGCAGCATCAGCATCAGCATCAGCATCAGCATCAGCATCAGCATCAGCATCAGCATCAGCATCAGCATCAGCATCAGCATCAGCATCAGCATCAGCATCAGCATCAGCATCAGCATCAGCATCAGCATCAGCATCAGCATCAGCATCAGCATCAGCATCAGCATCAGCATCAGCATCAGCAGTTGCACGAGGCATGCGCATGGTCCTGAGACTCACTGTCGCCGCAGTGCCCTGCTCGTAAAACTGCTGCAGCAGCGACTCCATCACACCCAACGCCTGTGCCTGAGGGTCAACCGCAGCAGCAATCCCCCCAATCTCACCCTCATCCTCACTCCCTTCAGCCCCATCAGCACCATCAACAGGCAAGTCATGGTCCAGCACCATCCCATCAAAGTCTTCCAAACGAGCCAACCCCCCTTCAACCTCGCCTACCCTGCTCCGCATGTCAACAAACACGCCCGCAGTCGTGGCAGCAGCAAACGCCTCACTCACCGCATCCTCCCGCTCTGTCGCCGCGTTTTTCTGCGAGGCTGCCACTCGCAGCGCCCGCCATGTTGAGATGCCCGCCCTTATCTTACCAATGGCGTATTTGATCTCGGACAGGGCATCTTGGCGCTGTGCCCGCGCCAGGCGAGCCCAGTGAGCAGCGGAAGGCACGGCCGTGTGGCAATCCTTGGCCATATCCAAGAGAGCGACCACGTCTCGACTTGACTCTATCAGGTCCGCTCGGGCTGCTGCTGCCGCCGTTCGAATGTCCACATACTCTTTCTCTTCTTCGTTTCTAGGGTTAACTGCTCGTGCTACTATTGCCGCCGCTGCTTCTGCTTCTGCCGCAGGCCCTGCTGCTCCTACTCTTGCTAGTGCGGCATCAGCAGTAATGGTGACTTCACTCGCTCCCTTCCCCCTGCCAACCTCTTCTGCTTCACACTCCTCCCCTCTAACTCCCTCTCCAACCATCCCTCCTTCCTCCCCTTTTTCATCCCTGTCTACCTCCCATCCAACCTCCCCGCCCTCTCCTCCCCTCTGCACCACGCGCACCAGCAGGCCCACGAAACTCTCAAATGACACGTGTTGATGCATCATGGTCCTCCCCCCTTCCCCTTCTCCTTCCCTCTCTCCTCCTCCCCTTCCTTCTCCACTCCGAATCTCAGCATCCCCCCCACTCGGCTCAGCAACCGTCTCCGGCATTCCTTTCAGCGCCAGGGAGTGCAGGCCACTGCAGTGCGCCAGCATGCCCGGGCGGAAGGACGGCAGCCCTGAGAGCTCGAGCGTGTGCAGGCGGGGCGAGGAGAGGAGGAGGAGAGAGCGGAAGGGCGCGGCGCTGAAAAGGCGGTAGGTGGTGCCGTGGAGGGAGAGGGAGGAGAGCGCCGGGTTGGCTTCAACCAGCGCTGCGAGGGCGTGGCTGGAGACCAAGGGGCAGTTGTGGATAGTGAGGTGGGTAAGCGTGTGGAGGGAGCGAGCAAGGGCGTGCAGCTCGAAAGGGTCGATGGTGCAGGCGAGGAAGGCGAGAGAGGCGAGGCGAGGGAAGGATGCGAGGGGCGCGACGCAGGACTGGAGCTTGGCGGAGTGGAGGGTGAGGGACTTGAGGGAGGGGCGGACAGAGGAGGAGGAGGAGGAGGCGAGGGAGGAGAGGGTGGAGGGAAGGGGGTTCCAGAGAGTGAGGGAGGTGAGGGAGGAGCAGCGGGTGACGGGGGTTAGTTTTGAGGCAGTGATGAGGAGAGCGAAGGAGCGAAGAGCGGGGAAGGCGTGGATGGGAGGGAGGGGGGTGCCAGTGGAATGTCGGTAGATGATGGGGCGCTGGGCGAACGGCGAGTCGAGCTCCAGAGATGCCAAGAGGCTGACAGGTGGGAGGAGAGGGAGTGGGAGGGAGACCAGGGGAAGGAGGGAAGGGTACGGAGGAAAGGGGAAGAGAAAATGGGAAGGGGAAAGTGGAAGGGGGAAAGCAGGAGGGAAGAGGAGAGGAAAAGGAGAAAACAAACTACGAGCTTCAAAAAGAGGGACGGCATTGGGGCGTTGAGGAGAGGAAGGAGGGAAAGGGGAGGAAAAAAATCAAAAGGTCATTCCGTTGTGAGCTTGAATGGTCGATCGTGTGACTCATTATAAGAACGAGCTGAGTCCAGTTTCAATAGCGAGGACGAGAGGCGCAGCTCACGGGCATTGCTTGGCGAGCTTCGTCCACGCAGCAGCGTTCATGTGGAAGTCCCCCCATTTCGCCACCAGCTTCAACCTTTCCAGTTTCGGGCAGCTCGCACCGACCTTCCCCAGCAGCTCACTTCCCCGTATCGAGCAAACCTCCACGCTCAGTGAATTGATGTGGGTAAATACCCTCGAAAAATCGTCGAAAGCTTTGAGAAAGCTGCGCACATTGCGATACTGGAAAGGAGAGACGAAGAAGAAGTTGAGCGAGTGGGGCGTACGGCGGGAGAGGCGGTGGAGGCGGGAGCAGGAGAGAGCGACGCTGCAGCGATCGCAGGGGTGGTTCACTTCACCCGGGCGAGAAGCAGCAGAAGGAGCTCGTCCGGGAGCGACAGCAGGCGACCGTCTTTCGTTTCATCCTTGACCGACGTTTTCCCGCGCGTTGTTTTCATGGTCGCGAAGTAGTTTCGGCGAAGGGTAACGGTTAGGGTTACGCCGCTGTGAACCGACTTCAGCTGGTGGCTTCGTGACGAGTGCGAGAAGAGAAGAAGGTGGCATTGATGGAACAAATGACAGTCGAAACAAGCAAGCCACTAACGCGGGCCGCGTCTAGGAAATGTTGGGTTTCGAACCCTCTTGTAAAGCTACTTTCGAGTAACTACTGCTGAGTTTCATGGCGAAAGAAGCTCTGCTAGGGCGCAGCAGAAAACTAATATGTTGGGGGCAAGACAAGTGGATAGGGAGGGGGGAAGATATTACGCTGTGTGTGGGAGATGGAAATAAGTAGAACAAGGCTGGGTGTGTGAGGGAGAGGGAGAGAGGAGAAGAACAAGGCTAGGTGTGTGTGAGGAGGCACACTAACGCTGCGTTTAGTGGAAGTGGCATCCCCTGCGCAATGTGAGACTGTAGAGCATGCTATGCTGCCATGAGTTGATTGACACACCTGCACCTCATCAGAGCACACCTGCACCTCATCAGAGCACACCTGCAGCTTACCCTAAACATCTGAAGCTCATCCAAACACACCTGAACCTCATCAGAGCACACCTGCAGCTCATCAACACCCACCTGAAGTTCATGAAAACTCACCTGACGCTCATAAGAGCACATCTTAAGTTCATCAAAACTTACCTCAGGTTCATGAAAATTCCCTGAAGCGAACCTCATCAGCCTGGATGGAGCCGAAGCAAGTCAGGATCACCCGTAGATTTGATTTGCCCTCTGCTCCTGTAAGCTCTGTCACCTTCGAGAAGTCAAAACAGAAATGAGGCGGATTGCCTTGCCCAAAAAAATTGAATGAATGACGTTACAAGAAACGGAGCCACCCTTTGCTGCTGCCGGTGGGGTGAGTTGCGACACATGCGAGGAGTGGGACGGAATAACCTGTACACAACACTTGTGGACATCCCACAAGGAAAAAACGTGCAGTCTGCTGCTTCCAGCACTGTCACCTGCTGCGAATGGGATTCTTCTTCCTCCAAGCTTGCATGAAAAAAACCTCAGCACATTTTCCGCAGGGGATAAGCCATGAACAAAGCAGTCCAGGTTCCTACTAGCTAGGCATTGCTTCCACTCGCAAAAGAGATTACCCTTTTTCTGGCCTGACCCGCAAGCAGGAAGGCACTGTGACTTTGTTAAAACTAAGATGATGAAGCATCTCCTCTCGTTCGGTCCAACATCCTCCTCACTTGCCTTCCTCCCTGTCCCTTCCAGCCTACCTGCTCTCCTCTCTCAACCATTCCCCATCTCATCTCCATCCCATAGCTCCTTTTCCCTCTCCCTCTCCCCTCTCTGTTTACCTCTCCCTTCTCCTTCTCCCTCTCCCCTCTCCCTCTCCCTCTACCCTGTCCCCTCTTCCCCTCTCCCCTCTCCCCTCTCCCACTCCCCTCTCCCTCTGCCCACTCCCACTCCCCTCTCCCACTGCCCAATCCCACTCCCCTCTCCCTCTCCCCTCTCCCACTCCCCTCTCCCTCTACCCACTCTCACTCCCCTCTCCCATTCCCTCTCCCCTCTCCCTCTACCCACTCCCACTCCCCTCTCCCACTCCCTCTCCCCTCTCCCACTCCCCTCTCCCTCGTCCTCACTCCCATGAATCCCAGGACGTACCTTGATGCCTGCCTGCCTGCCTGCCTGCCTGCCTGCCTGCCTGCCTCAGCTGGGGAGATCACCCGAGCGGACCAGCGTTGCTCATGGATGGGCGTGAGGGGAGTGAGGGCGAGGAAGAGAGAGAGAAACATCGGGATGAATAGAGGCAAATATGGGGGGTTTGCAGCAGCGCGAGCACGTTTTTGTTGAATAATGTAGTCTGGCATAAAGAGAAAACAAGAGGAAGGGAATGAGGATGAGAAATAAAGGATTCAGGGGATTGTGAATGCATGAGAGGGAAAGACGAAGGTAATCAGGAAGAGAGCGAGGAAGCGAGTTGGCGGCGGGAAATACACAGGAAAGGAGAAAGTGGAACAGCTGAACACTTAGGGTGCAGCAGGTGAGGGAAAACACTTCATGTCAATCACTAGATTTCTGGCACGCGAAACACGCGGGAAGAAAAATAACGCAAAACGATGTACCTTGCAGGATGTGTAAAGGACCTCCGGGAGCTCGCATTCGCGCGATCCGCGATTCGATCCAGAACCTGCTGAAAGCGGCTAGCCGTCTCTAAAATCCATCCTCAAGGCGGCGGCGGAGCGTACGAGCGCACGCGGGAGGCGCAAAAGCCGCCGCTTCCGAGCCGATTCTTCCGCCTTGCAATGAAGCCGTGATCGTTGCTTCGATAATACATTTCCAGCGATCGTGACTGCTGCAGCAAACCCATGCGCGACCCATTTTGAGAGAACAGCGATTGCACCGTCACGCGAGCATTGGAAAATGGCTGCTCACTGGCGTCAGCGCGACTCGGATGTGACGGGAACGAGCAGGCAAGAAAAGCTAGGTGTTGTGCCTTGCATGCAGGCGCGAGCGATGCCAGATTTGGGAGAGGTTGACTGATGAAAATGAAGTGGTGCAGTTCGGCTGAGTGAGCGCAACGTGCAATGCGCAACCAGCGGGTGAGGAAAGCGAGCTGGTGCCTGAGGAGAATCAGTGGTGCAGTTCGGCTGAGTGAGTGCAACGCGCCAAAACAGTTCTTGCTAGTTATATGAGCGTTTAAAATTCTAACACCAGCACAACTCCACCTCACACGTCAGACAGCAGCAATCGTGCACAATCCATTCTAATCAAGGGGAACAGAGAACATGGTGTTTTGGTTTGCTGATTTTGTTTTCGCAGCATATCTACAAACCTTCTGATTGTCAGCAAAATTTATCGGTGTACAAATATGCATGAGATGATATTGATGGTTGAGAATGCGGAAGTTTAGGACGAAGAACTCCCTAGAGAGTACGAATTCGCCACTCCGACCTCGATCTCATCCCTGGAGTTCTCAGTTTCGGAGCTTTGCTACCGAACCTGTCTTCCTTCGTTCGCGGGAGGCACATCGCCACGCCACCACCGTTGGGCATTTTCGGGAATGGGAGTACCCCAGAGGTTCGTCAGCGCTTCGAGTGCGGTTGGGCAGGCGAAATCTATTGTTTCATGCCGTCGACTTTGTAGGGATGGATCTCCGCTAGCGCGCAGCGGAAAACTTTCTGTCGGGGGCAGGAAACACGATAGAGTCGGGGGTAGCGAAAGACAGATTCTTTAGCGTCGCTTCCCCGCGAGGACCCTGTGCGAGAGTCCGTTCACCAGCAATTTTTTGTACCCATTTTCGCGGTTTCAGTAAAGATCGCGCGGGGCAGCACGCCAGCGCACGGTTCCGAATTTTCGGAGGTGCTCAGGCAGCAACCGAGAACAGTTCCTCCGTTTTTTCGACACTCCCTCCTGTGAGTGTCTCCTCCACACAGCCTCCATCCCTCTCTCTCCTGTTGCTCGTCGCATTTACAAGTCCGACGCATAGAAGACTCATTTTCCAGAGTTTTAATTCCAGTTTCTTCTTGTTCTGTTGATTGAGCCAATTCCTAGCAAGTTCAGACCTCTTATTTCGTTCTTTATATCTCGCGGAACCTCTTTGCTCTTAGCGTTTAGCTTTGCTTTTACTCGCCCACACAAACTCGGTTTAGCTTGATGGCTTGTTCTTCTGACTTTCCATCTTTGCTGAGCTTGTGGCCTTCTGGGTATTCTGATCCGGATGAAGAGTTATGCTCCGATCCGTGAGTCCGCTGAATATCCCACCTTTGCAGAAGTTTTGAACCTCTTCAAAAAACGGGCAGCGTTGCAGCAGGCGCAACGTCATGCTATGATGCAGGCACAATGGGATGCTTATATGGCCTCCTTAGCTCGCTATCCGGCTGCTGAGGAGGACTCGTGGGTTCTTTCTTCTGAGGTTGAGAAAGTTCCACAAGCAGAAGCAGAGGAGATTGCAGAGGAGATTTTCTCGCTTTTTATGGCTGCAGAGGGCGAAGGCCAGAGCGGCTTCAGTGACAGCGCCTTCAGTGACAGCAGCAGCAGCGGCTTCAATGAAAGCGCCTTCAGTGACAGCAGCAGCAGCGGCCAGAGCGGCTTCAGTGACTGCAGCTTCAATGACAGCAGCTGCAGCGGCTCCAAGGAGAAGCCTTCCACTTCAATGGCCACTTCCAGTGCTGCCTACAGGTCTAGCTGCTGCTACAGCAACAATCACGTCAATGGCTGCAGCGAGAGTGAGCTGCTGTTGGATCTTGTGCTCCTGCTGAGCTCATCTGCAGCGAGTGAGAGTGTGGTCCTTGCTGTGAGTGCCGCATCACGGATGGGTGTGCTGGTTTCAGGCCCGAGCTTGGGGACGAGAATGCCCGCAGCCAAGTTGAGGCTGCTCCCCTCTCGGATTCCCAAGGCTGGTAGCAAGGAAGCAGCAGCAGTGAACCCAGCTCCTGTGAAGGAAGCAGCGTTGATTGCTCCTGATGGAGGCTTCAAGGCTCATGAGGACGGGTCTGCAGCAGCAGAACAAGGCATGCAGCAGCGGGATGGGGTTGGGGATGGGATGTTTGAAGCGAGGGATATTCCTTCAAGTACAATGGATACTCTTCCAGGTGGAGGCGTCAAGGAGGCTTCAGTGGCACCACAGAGGAAGAGGCAGCAGGGGAGAGTGGGAGGTGGGGGATGTGGAGTGAGGGAAGACTCTTCAGGAGCAGTATTGGCTGCTGCTCGTCCTGGTGGGGGTCTCACGGAAGGGTCAGCAGCACAGCACAGTAAGACGCAGCAGAAGGGAGTAAGGGGTGGGAGATGTGGAGTCAGGGAAGGCTCTTCAAGAGCAGTGTTGGCTGCTGCTCGTCCTGGTGGGGGTCTCAAGGATGGGTCAGCAGCAGCACAACGGAGCAAGGGCCAGGAGGGTCGGGTTGGAGGCGCCAGATCTGTGGGAAAGGAAGGTTCAGCATCAGCAGTACCAGTAGCTTCACGAATGTTGAGTGCGAGATCTGTGGGGCAGGAAGTGGCTTTGAGAGTTTGGATTGCTCATCCTGGTGGAGCTGTAAGGGAAGCCTCTGCATCAGCAGCACTGGGAATAAGGCAGCAGGAAATGGTGGTATGCAGGAGAGTAGGAGCTTGCAGGGGTGCGTCAAGTATGGCAAGAGTAGCGGCAATAAGGCCTCCATGGAGGCCCTAAGGGATGGTGTAGGGACCAGGGCTAATTTTTGGTTTTAAGCAACCCTTATCATCAGTCCTGCACCTTAGCAAAACCCTGATTATCAGTGTGACCCCTTGGGAAAATTCTTTTCCATCAGGGTTTTCCATAGTTTCTAGAAATTTACCCTTAGGCCAGAGTGTAACAATTTTCAGAACCCTGATGAGTGTTTCTCTACTGAAATTCTGAAAAAAATCGACGTCTGCAGGATTCGATCCCGGGTCTTCATACTCACGAAGATCAGTCCAACGACCGCGCCACTCCAACATGAATCGGTTTACAGCATGTTTCTTTACATCACAATTTAATTTTAGCGAGACAGAGGTGCGAGGGCGGATTTGAGGGGAGGGGGGGGGGGGCGGGATTATGGTACTCGCTTCAGGGTAAAACTCGTTATCAAGATCGGTAACCCTGAGTCATCAGTGTGCCTTAAATGTAAACCCTGGCATATCAGGGAAATCCTAGCTCCCGAAAAAATTACCCTAGGCCATCAGTGTGACTACCAAAAACCACCCTGATAATCAGGGTATCAGGGTGATTTACACTGATAAAATTAGCCCTGGTAGGGACTTTAACTAGAAGGGAAACTGATTAGATGTACCGTAGCTCTGTACAATAAGTTTTATGCTCTATTTATTATAGCCATTGTCTTGTAATGCGGTAATAGTGCAGTTCAGTTAGAGTTGTAACATACATGCCAGCCATCATGGCAAGAAACTTGTATACTTGTGTTGGAAACAAGAAAAATCATTTGTATATGCTGATACCGTATTCTGTTACTAAAGTACATCTGACCAAGGATTACCTTTATGGCCTGTGCAAAACCTTATGATGGTCCCTGGCAGCACATTCCAGTCAGCACATTTGTGTGCACCTATGTCGACATGCTGTTTTACTAGATGGTGGGAAAAAATGCCATGCCACCCTTTGCCGCCACAAACTGGCAAGACAATTCAGAGAGGCAGGTGAATAAGAGGACTATTGGAGCAGTAAGCGCGAACCTGCACATGGAAAGAATATGGAAAGACGAGATGGGGATGATGATGGTAAGGAACTAGGTAAGCAGCAGACCAATAAAGCAAAACAAGAGGAGGAGCACAGGAAAACGACAGAATCATCAACCTCAAACATTCTCCATTCTTCTCCTTCAACCCCCAGCCAGCTCCCATTAACTCATTGCCACTTGACAAGCATGGAGCAATGACATGAAGGGTTCAGCATGGATGATGGCAATTCAACCAGCAAGTGATGGACCAATGACATGGAGGCGTCTGGAGGGTTCAGCATGGATGAGCATGGATGAGCATGGATGAGCATGGATGAGCATGGATGAGCATGGATGAGCATGGATGAGCATGGATGAGCATGGATGAGCATGGATGAGCATGGATGAGCATGGATGAGCATGGATGAGCATGGATGAGCATGGATGAGCATGGATGAGCATGGATGAGCATGAATGAGCATGAATGAGCATGAATGAGCATGGATGAGCATGGATGAGCATGGATGAGCATGGATGAGCATGAATGAGCATGAATGAGCATGGATGAGCATGGATGAGCATGAATGAGCATGAATGAGCATGAATGAGCATGAATGAGCATGAATGAGCATGAATGAGCATGAATGAGCATGAATGAGCATGAATGAGCATGGATGAGCATGAATGAGCATGAATGAGCATGAATGAGCATGGATGAGCATGGATGAGCATGGATGAGCATGAATGAGCATGAATGAGCATGAATGAGCATGAATGAGCATGAATGAGCATGAATGAGCATGAATGAGCATGGATGAGCATGGATGAGCATGGATGAGCATGAATGAGCATGAATGAGCATGGATGAGCATGGATGAGCATGGATGAGCATGAATGAGCATGAATGAGCATGAATGAGCATGAATGAGCATGAATGAGCATGAATGAGCATGAATGAGCATGAATGAGCATGAATGAGCATGAATGAGCATGAATGAGCATGGATGAGCATGGATGAGCATGAATGAGCATGGATGAGCATGGATGAGCATGAATGAGCATGGATGAGCATGGATGAGCATGAATGAGCATGAATGAGCATGAATGAGCATTAATGAGCATGAATGAGCATGAATGAGCATGAATGAGCATGAATGAGCATGGATGAGCATGGATGAGCATGAATGAGCATGAATGAGCATGAATGAGCATGAATGAGCATGAATGAGCATGAATGAGCATGAATGAGCATGAATGAGCATGGATGAGCATGGATGAGCATGAATGAGCATGAATGAGCATGATGAGCATGGATGAGCATGGATGAGCATGAATGAGCATGAATGAGCATGAATGAGCATGAATGAGCATGAATGAGCATGAATGAGCATGAATGAGCATGAATGAGCATGAATGAGCATGAATGAGCATGAATGAGCATGGATGAGCATGGATGAGCATGAATGAGCATGGATGAGCATGGATGAGCATGAATGAGCATGGATGAGCATGGATGAGCATGAATGAGCATGAATGAGCATGAATGAGCATGAATGAGCATGAATGAGCATGAATGAGCATGAATGAGCATGAATGAGCATGAATGAGCATGAATGAGCATGTATGAGCATGAATGAGCATGAATGAGCATGAATGAGCATGAATGAGCATGAATGAGCATGAATGAGCATGAATGAGCATGAATGAGCATGAATGAGCATGAATGAGCATGAATGAGCATGGATGAGCATGGATGAGCATGGATGAGCATGAATGAGCATGAATGAGCATGGATGAGCATGGATGAGCATGAATGAGCATGGATGAGCATGAATGAGCATGAATGAGCATGAATGAGCATGAATGAGCATGAATGAGCATGAATGAGCATGAATGAGCATGAATGAGCATGAATGAGCATGAATGAGCATGGATGAGCATGGATGAGCATGGATGAGCATGAATGAGCATGAATGAGCATGGATGAGCATGGATGAGCATGGATGAGCATGGATGAGCATGGATGAGCATGGATGAGCATGGATGAGCATGGATGAGCATGAATGAGCATGAATGAGCATGGATGAGCATGGATGAGCATGAATGAGCATGAATGAGCATGAATGAGCATGAATGAGCATGAATGAGCATGAATGAGCATGAATGAGCATGAATGAGCATGAATGAGCATGAATGAGCATGGATGAGCATGGATGAGCATGAATGAGCATGAATGAGCATGAATGAGCATGAATGAGCATGGATGAGCATGGATGAGCATGGATGAGCATGGATGAGCATGGATGAGCATGGATGAGCATGAATGAGCATGGATGATGGCAGTTCGACCGGCAGGTGATGAACCGGTGATGGTTATGACTCGGATGCGCTCAGCACAGCCACCATGACAGGTTATGACTTGGCTGATTTGCCCCCTCTGGGCGGGTGAGAATCAGATGATGATCAACCAGCAGCAAGGCAGCTGGTGCTGGCCTCTCTCAAGTGACTTTTGAGTCGACTCCAAAGTCAACTCTGGGCGGGTGAGAATGAGTTGATGATCAGCCAGCGGCAGGGCAGCTGGTGCTGCCCTCTCTCAGATGATGACCGGCCAACAGCAGGCCTGAAAGAATGGGTGGGAAGACGGGAGGGGAGGGAGGTGTGAGAAGAGAGAGGAGGGAAGCGGGGAGTTGGACAGGGAGAGAAGAGAACGACCTGAATCTCATCAGCTCAAGATTATCACATCATACCTGACGGTCTTCAGATAACACCTGACGGTCTTCAAAGCACACCTGACAGTCTTCAGATAACACCTGACAGTCTTTAATTCACACCTGACAGTCTTCAAATCACACCTGAAGCGCATCAGAAGTAATAGAGCCGAGACGAGTCAGGGCTTTTCTCAGGTCACTCGCAGATTCGACTTCCTCACTTGTTGTGAGCGAATGCAAGTGCGGGGTGGGGCTGGGATGCCAAGTGCTGCCGGGTGCAAGTGCCGCAGCCCCTTCCTGAGGCGGCCAGAGCACCTTCAACATGTGGTTGGGGAGCGGAAGGAAAGAAGAGGGAAGAAACGAGTAGAATTAGCTTGCTTGTACAGTGGATACGAAAGGAAGTGCCATTGACGTTGACTGTGTTACCGGTGCGTACCTTATGGTATTACCAGCTGAATGTCATGGCTGAAGCTTACATGAACGCACTTGACCTAAGCATACCTGGAGCTCATCAGAGCACACCCCAAACCATGAACACCCAAACCATGAACACCCAAACCATGAACACCCAAAGCTCATGGAAACTCATTGATAACCCATGAAACTCGCCTGAGGCTCATAGGAACTCACCAGAGGCTCATAAAGACTCACCTGCAGTTCATGGAAACTCACCTGAAGCTCATGAGAAATTATGAAGCACACCTAAAGTGCTTTGAAGCACACCTGGAGCTCATCATGAACACCTAAAGCTGATGGAAACTCATCTATAACCCATGAAACTCGCCTGAGGCTCTTGAAAACTCACCTGAGGATCATGAAAGCTCACCTGAGGATCATGAAAACTCACCCGAATCTCATGAAACTCACTGAAGCTCGTGAAACTCACTGAAGCTCGTGAAACTCACTGAAGCTCGTGAAACTCACCTGAAACGCACCAGCAGGAATGGAATCAAGGCGAGTCAGGGATACCTTTGGGTCACTCGCACATTTGACAACCGATTCGTACCCTCTCCTGCGGCCAGCGCAGTCACCTGAAAATATCATGAGGCAGATTGCAAGAAAATATCATATTGCAGGAAAATATTATCCATCACGACTGATCATGCCACAATACAAGGACAAAAGGTGCCCTCCGCTTCTGCCAGCACTGTTGCTTGCGGTGTAACCTGGGACACATGCGAGGGTGAATAGCCCGTAAGTTAATGGTCATGGACAGAACACAAGTAAGAGATGCGCAGGCTACTGCCAGCACAGTCGCCTACGGTTAATGATTTGCTCTTCCTCCCTAAAGGAGTTACAAACAACACATGCATGAAAACCAAAGCGCGGCCCTTTTTGCCCATCCTTCTGTGCTCACACAAACAGAGAACATGACCTGCAGCACTCATAGACGCAATGCTTCAGAATGCTGCTTACCTTGCGACTGAGAATCAGACTTCGGAATGCCTCATTCTCACATTCTCCAATCCAATCCAATCCATCCCACATTCTCCTCACCTGCCTGCTCCCTGTCACATACAGCTCATGGACACATGCCTGGAAGCTGGAGCTCATCAGATCAGTTCTGAGCTCATCAGAGCACACCTGAAGCTCTTCCGAACCGAACCCACCTCAAGATCATGAAAAAGCACATGAAGCTTATGAAAACACAGCGATGCGATTTACGGCTTCCCTCAGGTCACTGGCATATTTGATTTGCCCTCTGCTACTGTTAGCTCTAACGCCTGCGGGAATTCAAAACAGAAATGAGGCGGATTGTCGTTAAAAGTGATGTCGTAAGAAGGACGGAACCACTCTTTGCTGCTGCCAGCAGTGTCACTCGCGGTGTGAGTTGGGACACTTGTGAGGAATAAGACTGGATAACACGTAAAGCCATACTCCTGGACAAAACACAAGGAAGAAACATGCAGTCCGCTGCTGCCAGCACTGTCACCTGCAGTGAATGAATCTGCTCTTCCTTCCTGAAGCACTTACAAACAATGCATGCATGCTGACCAAAGTGTTGCCTTTCTTTCCACCCCTACCACACAAACAAAGAAAGGTACCCGTAACAATCATAGATGCAGTAATCTGAAATGCTTCTTACCAGGCGACTGAGAACCCGACTTGGCTCACAATCCCATTCCGCTCCACATGGGAAGAAGTTTCCATCCCATATCTCCTTTCCCCTCTCCCTCTCCCTCTCCCCTCTCCCTCTCCCTCTCCCTCTCCCTCTCCCTCTCCCCTCTCCCTCTCCCCTCTCCCTCTCTCCTCTCCTTCTCCCTCTCCCTCTCCCTCTCCCCTCTCCCTCTCCCTCTCCCCTCTCCCTCTCCCCTCTCCCACTCCCCTCTCCCTCGCCCTCACTCCCACTAAACCCAGAACATACCTTGATGCCTGCCTGCCTGCCTGCGTGCTTCAGCATACAACGCATCCCACCGCACTGCATCTACAGCTTCTCCTCTGAAGGCTGTAAGGGACGGGGAGGCAGGCAGCTGGGGAGATCACCCGAGCGGACCAGCGTTGCTCATGGATGGGCGTTAGGGGAGTGAGGGCGAGGAAGCGAGAGAGAAACATCGGGATGAACAGAGGCAAATATAGGGGTTGTGCAGCAGCGCGAGCACGTTTTTGTTGAATAATGTAGTCTGGCATAAAGAGAAAACAAGAGCAAGGGAATGAGGATGAGAAATAATGGATATCGGGGATTGTGAATGCATGAGAGGGGAAGACGAAGGTAATCAGGACGAAAGCAAGGAAGAGAGCGAGGAAGCGAGAGAGAGAAACATCGGGATGAACAGAGGGAAATATAGGGGTTGTGCAGCAGCGCGAGTACCGTCTCTGTTGGAATATGGTGGCTGGAATGAAGAGAAAACAAGAGGAGAACACGGCGGCAGGGGATGAGGAGGAAAGTCGGAGAGAAGGGAATGAGAAAACACGAGAGGAAGAGGCAGATGAACGGAATGAGGAAGGAAGTGAGGGAGAGACAGAGGAAGCAGGCAAGCGGCAAGGAATAGATGGGAAAGAAGAGAGAGGAATTGATGGACTCTTGAGGCCTAGCCGGCGTGGGGAACACCTTATGACATATCCTGAAATTTCTGGCACGCAAAACCGAAAATAACAACTGGCGCAGGAAAAACAAATAACAACTCTTGCTCTCACAACGTACAGCACTGCAGAGAAATCGATGTGCCTTGCAGGATGTAGTGAAGGCACCGGGGAGCTCTAATCAGCGCGATCCGCGATTCGATTCAGATCCCGCTGAAAGCGTCTAACCGTCTCCGGAATCTCACCTTAAGGCGGCGGCGGAGCGAACGAGCGCATGCTTAAGCGCGCGGAAGCCGCCGCTTCCGCCGATTTTTCCGCCGTGCATTGAAGCCGACATCGTTGCTTCGAAAATACCTCTCCGCCGATCGAGACTGCCCCAGCAAACTCATGCTCGACCTATTTCGCGAGAAATGCGAACGCGCCGACACGCGAGCGCTGGAAATGGCTGTCGACTGGCGTCAGCGCGACTCGGAGGTGACAGGACAGGAACGAGCAGGATGTAGCGAAGGCTCTACGGGGAGCTTGCATCAGCGCGATCCGCGATTCAATCCACATCCCGCTAAAAGCGTATAACGGTCTAGCAATGTACGTTCCAACGTCTGTCCGCGTATGTAATCTATCCTCAAGGAGCGTAAGCGGAGCGTACGAGCGCAAGCGGGAGGCGGAAAAGCCGCCGATTCCGCCGATTCCTCCGCCTTGCATTGAAAAAGACATCGCTGCTTGATCGATCAGTGATCGTGACTGCAGGAAGTCCATGCGCGACCCAAATTGAGGAAGAATGCGAACGCCGCGACACGGGAGCGTTGGAAATGGCTGCCGACTGGCGTGACTCTGAGGTGACAGGAACGAGCAGACGAGGACAGCGAGTTGCTGCCTGAGGTACGTAGTAATAGGCAATATTACTAGGCGCGACGCGAGCGATTGCAGATTATGAAGAGCTTTTGTGTGTCTGGTAAGAATCAGTGGTGCAGTTCGGCTGAGTGAGTGAAGCGCGCTATAATAGTTCTTGGATACAGCACAGTAGAAATCACTCTGCTGTTTAAAGCTCGCGTCTCCAATTACACCCTTCCATCCAAGTGTTAAACGCTTGATATAGGGTTACAGACTGTTTGGTCGCAAAGTTCACCCAGGCAAGGGTTGAGTTTCGGGGAAGTGTGGGTGGGGTGGTTTGGGTTTGCAACGTGCACTCTAATTGGGTGAGCACATACGCCAAAGCAGGTTGGGTTGGCAAGCACTCCTGCGCGACAAATAGAGCTGTGAACACTGCCATCGTGCGACAACGGGACCGTCGCCCTCTCGTCCCTGCAAACCAAGCGTTTTACACAGCTCAGAAATATGAGACTGAGAACTCGTCAACATCTCAAAAGGCACTCTGCACCAAGTATTTTACGACCTAGACACATGTCCTAGTCTGGAGCCCTACAGGAAAAAACCGCAAACTGGTTAGAAAGCATCACCCAATCTTCGATGCCCCACACATCGTATGCCCTTTCCGACCACCTCTCCTACAATCTGACCTGTAGTCGACAAAAACGCGACCCGTGTAAGACTATAGAACTGGCCACGCCAACCCCATACAATCCACTGCCCACGCCGCGCTGCCCCGAACCGGCTTTCATCGCCCAAACGTTGCCCTTGGATTAGGTGAGCCTACATGTTTCCGCGTTGTTACCCGAGAGAAAGGTGGGGCGATAGAATGGCGTCGATATCGTAGGCCCGTCCTTTACGAGGCCCTTACGAGCACTAAGTGAATGGCTGTAGTGTTATAAATGAGAGTACACGGCCTAATGAGAGGCGTATTGGTGGGCGTAATGGGAGTCGAAATGAAAGGAGTACTGAGAGGCGTAATGACAGGCGTAATGAGAGGCGAAATGAGAGACGGCGTGAGAGGCGGAATGAGAGGCGGAATGATAGGCGACGTGAGATGCGGAAGGAGCCGCCTTTACCCCTCCCATTCCGCCCTCTACCGCCTTTACCCCTCCCATTCCGCCCTCTACCGCCTTTACCCCTCCCATTCCGCCCTCTACCGCCTTTACCCCTCCCATTCCGCCCTCTACCGCCTTTACCCCTCCCATTCCGCCCTCTACCGCCTTTACCCCTCCCATTCCGCCCTCTACCGCCTTTACCCCTCCCATTCCGCCCTCTACCGCCTTTACCCCTCTCATTCCGCCCTCTACCGCCTTTACCCCTCCCATTCCGCCCTCTACCGCCTTTACCCCTCTCATTCCGCCCTCTACCGCCTTTACCCCTCTCATTCCGCCCTCTACCGCCTTTACCCCTCTCATTCCGCCCTCTACCGCCTTTACCCCTCCCATTCCGCCCTCTACCGCCTTTACCCCTCCCATTCCGCCCTCTACCGCCTTTACCCCTCCCATTCCGCCCTCTACCGCCTTTACCCCTCTCATTCCGCCCTCTACCGCCTTTACCCCTCCCATTCCGCCCTCTACCGCCTTTACCCCTCCCATTCCGCCCTCTACCGCCTTTACCCCTCCCATTCCGCCCTCTACCGCCTTTACCCCTCCCATTCCGCCCTCTACCGCCTTTACCCCTCCCATTCCGCCCTCTACCGCCTTTACCCCCCCCAACCCTAAGCCCTCTGTCGCCTTTCCGCCCCCCATTCCGCCCTCTACCGCCTTTACCCCTCCCATTCCGCCCTCTACCGCCTTTACCCCTCCCATTCCGCCCTCTGTCGCCTTTCCGCCCCCCATTCCGCCGTCTACAGATTTTCCGCCTCTCATTCCGCCTCCCTTTTAGCCCGCTACCGCCTTTTCGCCTCCCATTTTGCCCTCGCGTGTCATTCCCACTCGCCTATCGCCATGCAAAGCATTTCCGCCTCGCACAACCTCCCCCTCTCGTCATTCCGCATCTCATTCCGCACTTTACAGCCATGTCACCGTCATTTCCGCATCTCATCCCGTCATTCCGCACTTTACAGCCATTTCCGCATCTCATCCCGTCATTCCGCCCTCTACCGCCTTTACCCCTCCTATTCCGCCCTCTATCGCATTTCCGCCCATCATTCCTCCCTCTACCGCCTTTCCGCTTCCCAATCCGCGCTGGCCCGCCATTCCCCCCTCCATTCCGCCCTCGCGTGTCATTCCGACTCGCCTACCGCCATGTAAAGCCTTAGACCCTGTAGCATAACCTTTCTCTAAAGCCTTTCGGCGTTTCATTCCGCTCTGTAACGCCAGCTCGCCTCTCATTCCGCCCTATACCGCCAGCTCGCCTCTCATGCCGCCATCCTTTGCCTTTCCGCCCCTCATTCCGCCCACTGGAGTCCTTCCGACTCGCTTTCTGACACGAAGAACCATTTCACATCGCATTCCTCCCTCTATGGCAATGATTCGAATATCATTCCGATAGATACCGCCGTTTCGCATGTCATTCCGCACTCTATGGCCATTCCGCCTATCATTCCGCCATGAACCGCCACCCCATGGCCCATTCCGCGCTGTACCGCCATTCCGCCTATCATTCGGCCATCTACTGCCATCACGTCTTTGGGCAACTCTGCGCCTGGGCACCAGTCCCCCTACCCCCATTATGAATCCACGCTTCTAGATTTTCGAAACACAGGGAGCTGCGTCAAGGCATTCTGGTCTGTGAGAACGCTCACCTGAAGACTATTCCCAGGACGATGCGTTTGAGGAACCCTAAAGCGGGTGGATAGTTGACCTCAGCTCAGTCTACTTTCTATAAAACTCAATGTGGAAACTCAACTCGGTCGTCTACTGACGGTCCCACGTTCGCCGAGGCTATGGCCTTATTAAAAATCGAGCAGCGTTGGTGCAGGCGCAGCGTCATGCTTGGGTGCAGGCGCAGCGTCATGCTGTGCTACAGGCGCAATATGATGCTTGGATGGCCTCCTCAGCTCGCTCTCCGGCTGTTGAGGAGGACGACGCGTGGGTCTTTGCTTCTGACGAACAGGAAGTGCCACAAGATGAAGCAGAGGGGATCTTAGAGGAGATTTACTCCTGTTTATGGCTGAAGAGGGCGTTTTTTGTGAGAACGATTCGGATCTGAGCAGCAGCTGCAGCAGTGAAGTCGATTTCTTTGGTTCTGAGACGTGCAGCACAAGCAGTGGCTGGTCTGACTGCAGCTGCAGCAGTCACGCGGCAATGACTGGTTCCAAGATCTTCGATTCTGACTCTTGCAGCGAAGTATTCACTTCCTGCACAAACAGCGGCTTCAGTGAGAACAGCTGCAGCGGCCAGATCTCCCAGGAGGCGTCTACTGCTTCCAGTGCTGAGAACGGCCTCTGATGCCATGACTACTACAGGTTCAGCTGCTACAAGTATCAGGTCTATGACTACAGTGACAGTGCGCTGTTGCTCGATCTGGTGCTACTCCTGATTTCGACTTCAGTGAGTAGGAACATGGTTGCTGCTGCGAGTCTTGCTTCACGGATGGAGGAGCAGATGGCACATCTTCGCATGGGCGAGCAGGAGTCGGCGACGGACTACTGCAACCGAGCTCGACGGATCCTGGCTGAAATGTGGAGGCGGGCGTCGAATACTCGACGACGTCCTACATCACCCTCGTCTTCAAGGGCCTGCCGCGCAGCTACAACCTCATGAAGAGGATGATGATGGTGCCCGGCACGTGTGAGTCCCTTGACGAGGACTCCCTCGCCAGCTACGCCATCAGATATGAGGCTCTGCAGGAGGCAGAACAGCCCACAGACGAAGCAGAGTCGACAGCAGGGGCAGCATGGGAAATCGGGTGGAGGTGGAAGAAGAGGTGGGCAGTCGGCGAAGGACGTCGACGAGAAGTGGTCGACGCGGGACAAGGGCCGTGGAGGTGGTGGTCGACGGCGGGAGTGCTGGATCTGCCACGACCCCAACCATCTCTCCTACGAGTGCCCCAACCGCGACGATAGCGACGAGGACGACAACAAGGGAGGCCGCGGTCGGTCGACCAGTTGTCGCCGGTGGCCGATAAGGCGCCAAGCTCATCAACAAGGACATGAAGCCGTCGATGATAGGGGATCAGCAGATAGGGGAGCCGGTCGAACAGGAGACAACATCACAGGTGCAGTCGACAGGGTAGCAGCAGACGGGACAGTCGATAGGGGAGCTGTCAACGAAAGAGAAGTCGGCAGGTGGGCCGACGAGAGGGGAGCAGCCGGGCGAAGGTCCGACACTGGCGAAGCAGCTGGTCAGCGGCAGCATCGGCAGCAGCGGCAGCAGCTGCAACATCGGCAGCAGCGGCAGCAGCGGCAGCATCGTCAGCGGCGGCAGCAGCAGCAGCATCGGCAGCAGCGGCAACAGCAGCAGCATCGGCAGCAGCGGCAGCAGCAGCAACAGCAGCCGGAGGAGTGCACCTGCCTCAGCAGCAGCACCTTCCCCCCTCGGCCGCCGCGGGTCCACCCGCCGCCGTCCCCCTCGTGGCCGCCGCGGGTCCACCCGCCGTCGCCCCTCATGGCTACCAACCCTCCTGCCCCCCTCCCTCCTCCCATCGACGCCTCCTCCGTCGACAAGCTCCAGCTTGCCGCGGACCGCTCGGCTGTCAACTGGCACTCATTCGTCGGGAGCATCCGCCGTGTCCTCCAGGACGCCTTCGTCGGACCCTACTGCGTCCTCGACATCCTCCTCCGCCGCCCGCGCGCTCTCCAGCCCACTTCACCCATTCACCCTGGTGAATCTCCTCCTCCCCCCATTCCCCCTGGCCCTCCTCCTCCTGAACCTACCTTGAGATCGCCGCTACCCCAGAGCTCCAGGCTGCTGCTGATGCCACCTTCCTCCACGATCGCCGCGAGTACCTCATCCGCAAGGCGGAGCATGAAGTTACGGTGCATCATCACGACTTTGCAACAGTGGAACGTGCCACTCGCCTGGCGTTACTTGATGAGTATAACACGGCCATGACAGACTGCCTCCCCAAGAGCATCGCATGGGTCACTGCTGACAACCGCGCCTGCACCATCCTCCTCGGCGCACTCCCCGACACCCTTATGCGCCGTTTCCAAGCTCGCGAGATGCGCGCCTCCCTAATTCGGGCCGAGCTCCAGGCGATGTTCGAGCGTCGCGACATCAGCTCTGTCGGCGCCCTTTTCCAGGAGTACTTCTCCATCACCCTCGCCACCTGTGACGGGGCAGTTGACTACGTGGGGCGCATGCAGGAGGTCGCTGATCGCCTTGCGGCACGCCAAGCTGCCCTCCCCGAGCCACTGCAAATCCATCGCCTCCTCTACAACCTCACCCCGGACCACGCGTCCCGCCTCCATGCCTTCACTGAGGCAAACCCCATGGCCGGCCTCAACGACGTGGTCCAGTGGATCATTGACACGGAGGTCAAGCTCCGCACCCCCCATTGTCAACCTTACCACCCCTCAGTCCTCCTCCTCCAGCTCCCTCAATGCTACGCAGCCGCGCAATCAGGGTGGTCGCAACGGCGGCGGTGGAGGTCGTGGAGCGGGTGGCGGTGGTGGTGGAGGTCGGGGCGGTGGTGGTGGCGGTGGTGGTGGTGGTGGCCGTGGTGGCCGTGGTGGTGGTGGAGGTGGTGCTGGCGGCACCCCTGCTGGAGGACCTTCCGGTGCTGGTGGTGCTGTGACTCGAGGCGGTCGCCCTGGAACTCTCCCCCCATGCACGCATGTTCGCCGCCATGGTCCCCATGCTGGTACCCCCTGCGGTCAAACCAACCACCCCCCTACCACGTGCTTCAAGGCGCTCGATGACGCCTGGTTTGATCGAGGCAACACTGTCACCCCTCCTCGCTGGAACACTTTCACCCCTCGCCCCTCCTTGGTGGATGTTCAAACCCTCCCATCCTTCCTTCCTGCTCACATCCGCCTGGTTACCCCCTCCCCACCTTCCCAGCTGCAGCAGTTTCAGCAGCACCAGTAGCAGCAGCACCAATATTTCCAGCAGCAGCAGCAGCAGCCGCAGTTTCTCCAGCCGCAGCAGCAGCCGTCGCTGCAGTTCTTGCAGCCACCGCCGCAGCAGCAGCCGCAGTTCCTTCCGCCACACTGGCAGCAGCAGCCGATGACCTTCGGCACGGCGGCCATGGCCGCTCATGCCTCCATTGCTCCCCCACCCCCCTGGGGTTCCCTCCCCTCTGCCCCCCCCAGTGTCCCCGACACTTCGGGTAGTTTCCTTGGTCATGTCACTGTTGCACCATCCGTCGCTTCCATGTATCCCTCTGCTATCAATGAGACTTCCTTCCAGTACCCCGTGCCACCTCCCCCTCCTTCCCCCCCCACCCTGGACTTCGTCCTTGATAGTGGGGCCACTGAAACCGCACTAAAAGACGCTGGCACTCTCACCCCCCTACCACTTCCCACTCAGGTTCATGGAGCTGATTCCAGTTTTTCCATCCCATGCACTCACCTCTCCACCTTCCCTTGCACTGCCTTCCCCTCCGGTAAGGTCACAGGTCTCCACATCCCCACTCTCCGCAACAACCTTCTCTCCCACCGTGAGCTCCAAGGTGTTGGTATTACCGCCATTTACCCGGGTTTTGCTAACTACTGTGATCTCTACCAAACCTCCTCTGGTCGCTTCCTTCTCCGCATTCCGCTTTGCCCCCGCACTCGCCTCTACACACTCCGCACACCTCGCCCATCTTTCTGCCACGTCACCACCCGTGCCGGCACTTCCACCGGTCCATCTCCCCCTCCCTCACTTCCCCCTTCCCCTCCCCCTCAAGTATCCTCCTCTCCTTCCCCACCATCCTCCTCCTCCCCTCCCATCCCTTCCATCACCCCGTCTCCCTCCTCCTCCACTACCCTCTCTCACCCTGCCGTCCTCTTACACCACAGAATCGGCCACCCCAACTTCACCGCACTTCGCACCACAGTCACCTCTCGCCTTCTTCGCAGCCTTCCTCCCGTCTTATCCCCCCTCCCCTCCTTCCCCTCTCCCCCATGCCCTTCATGCATCCACGGCAAGCTCAAACAGTCACCCCACCACAGTCATCCCACCTTCGCCGCCGCCCCCATTGACCTTGTTCACATGGATCTCCGGGGCCCCTATCCCATCCGCTCCCGCTAGGGGCACAGGTACATGCTCGTCCTCGTCGACGACCACAGTCGGTACTCCACCGTCTTCTTTCTTCACACGAAAGACCAGGTGCCGGCAGCGGTCATCAACTGGGCTGAGCTGTGCCGCAACCACTTCAAACGCCCCATCGGCCGCCTTCACTCTAACGGTGGGGGTGAGTTCATCAATCATACACTCGCCTCCTACTGCACGACCCACGGTATTCAGCAGACCTCCACCTTCCCCCACTCCCCTCAGCAAAATGGCGTCGCTGAGAGTCGCATTCGTGAGATCACCAAATTTTCTCGTTGCCTCATTGCTCATGCTTCCACCCCTCCTTCCCTCTGGAGCTATGCCCTCCTCCACGCCGCCCTCCTCCTTAATGTCCGCTCCCACCCTCACCGGTCCAAGGCCAAACCTGACGCTGCCGGCCTTCGTGTTTGGGGCTGCAAGGCCTTCGTCCTCATTCCGCCCGCCGACCGCTCCCGCGCCGCTGGCAACCTTGCTCCTCGTGCCCTGGAATGCGTTTACCTTGGGCACAACCGCGACTCCCCGGGCTGCCTGTTCCTCCACCCTCCCTCCAATCGCCTCATCCGCAGCAGCGACGTTGTCTTCGACGAGTCCATTCCCTACTACTCCACTCCTCCCCCTGACCCTCTCCCTCCTCCCACTCGCCCCCTCGCTTGGACCGATACCGTCCTCCCGCCTCTCCTCCCCCCCGCGCCCCTCCTCCCACCTGTAGCCGCTCCGCTCCCGCCTTCCTCCTCTGCCGACGTCTACGACCCCGCTGCACCCGCCTCCCCCGCCCACTCAGCTGCACCCCCTCCCTCCCCTCCCTCCTCCTATCACTCTCCCCCTTTGCAGCAGCAGCAGCAGCAGCAACAGCAGCAGCCGGGCCACCAGCAGCAGCAGCAGCAGCAGTGGCACCAGCAGCCGGGGCAGCAACAGCAGCAACCGGGGCAGCAGCAGCAGCAGCAACCGGGGCAGCAGCAGCAGCAGCAGCTGGGACATCAGCAGCAGCAGCAGCTGGAACATCAGCAGCAGCAGCAGCAGCGGCATGGGCAGCAACACTATCAGCCGCAGCAACAACGCGCCACCTCTCGCTCCTCCCCTTTTCTCCTTCCCCGCATGCACACCCATTCCCTGGATCGTATCATTGGGACCCCTCCTCCTCCTCCCTCCCTTCAACTCCTTGAGGACTCTCACGAGGAGTTCCTCACCATCCAGCAGCACACCCCTTTCCTTGCCACTCTTCCTTGACTTCCTTGGCTTCCCCGTCCTTGGCGCCACCTCCACCCCCACCATCTTCACTCCCTCCACCTTCCAAGAGGCCATCACCTACCCTGACGCGGACAAGTGGATAGCAGCAATCTTCCAGGAGTGCGAGGCGTTTATCCGCAACGACTCCTTCGTTGACGTCCCCCTCCCCGCCGATGCCAATCTTGTCGAGGGCAAGTGGGTCTTTTGGGTGAAGCAGCTGCCGGACGAGGAACCGGTCTACAAGGCGCGCTACTGCGCCAAGGGCTTCACACAGACGTTTGGGGAGGATTTCTGGGCCACCTACGCTCCCACCGCCAAACCCCCCACCCTTCGCGCAGCCCTCGACATTGGTGCGCGCGACAACATGGAGATAAATTCCATGGACGTCTCCAACGCGTTCCTCCAGGGTGACCTGCACGAGCGCATTTTCCTCCGGCGACCACCCGGGTTCCACGCAGCCTTCCCTAAGAACACGGTCTGGCAGCTGCGTCGCCCTGTCTACGGCTTAAAGCAGGCACCACGTGAGTGGCATGCGAAGCTTGCTGCCACCTTAGGGTCTCTCGGCTTCTCCGCTTCCCACTCCGACGCCAGCCTCTTCATTCGCTCCTCCCCCCGCCGCTTCTTCATTTTGGTGTATGTAGACGACATGATTCTGCTCTCTGACTCCAAGGCCGACATGGAGCAGATGAAGCTGTCCCTGCAGCAGCGTCTCAAGTGCAAAGACCTTGGCGCCCTCACTCACTACCTGGGCATGGCCATCACGCGCAACCGCCTTGCTCGCACCATCACCCTCTCCCAGTCCCACTACATCGGCCAGGTCTTGGAGAAGTTTGACATGGCGCAGGCCAAGCCCGTCTCCACCCCCCTCCCTTTCGGCCACCAACTCGCTCCACCCACTTCTACCACCTCCTCCCCCCACCCCTATGCCGAGCTCGTTGGGTCCCTGATGTACGCGATGATGTGCACCCGCCCCGACCTCGCCTACCCCATCAGCGTGCTCGCTCACTTCGTCGGCACCGGTCGCCACACTGAGGAGCACTGGAAAGCTGCCAAGCGGGTCCTCCGCTACCTTCGAGGGACCAAGGACCTTGCCCTCACCCTTGGCGGCCCTTCCCCTCCTCTTCTCTCGGGCTTCAGTGACTCCTCTTGGGCTGACACGCAGCCGGACCGCCGCTCCTCACAGGGTTACGGCTTCACCCTTGGCAGTGGCCTCGTCAGCTGGCGCTCCACCTGCTCCTCCGCCATCTCACTCTCCACCTGCGAGGCCGAGCTCTACGCTGGCACTACGGCCGCCCAGGAGTCGCGCTGGCTCTGCTTCCTTCTTGCAGAGCTTGGCGCCCCCCAGCCGTGCCCCACTCTCTGGTGCGACAATGCCAGCACCATCCACCTCACTCAGGATCCCGTCTATCACGCCCGCTCCAAGCACATCGAGCTCCGCTACTTCTTCATTCGCGAGCTCGTCCAGAAGGGCCTCATTGCCGTTCGCAAGATTGCGGCCGAGGAAAACTTGGCCGACATCTTCACCATGGCCCTCCTACGCCCTGCGCACTCTGCTCTCCTCCGCCTCATTGGCCTCGCTCGCCCGGGCGCCCCTTGATTCAGGGGTTGTTCTCTTCTTGTGTTAGCATGCTAAGGGGTTGTGTTAGAAATATATAAGTGTAGCATGCCAACACTTGTGACTGTACACCAATTGTGGTGTACAGTTGGGTTGGGACTACACCCAACATTGGGTGTAGTCTTGCATTGTGGGGTGCCAATCCACCCAATTGTGGTGGAGCCCCCAAATGCAACCCACTTGGCTTATGGGTGCCTCACTTTCGCAAGTAAGGTCAACCCCACCCAAGTGGGCCTAGGGTTGCCTCACTTCCACAAAGTATGGGCAACCTAACCCACTTGACCTATGGTTGCCTCACTCCCCCAAGTGAGGTCAACCCAACCTATGGTCATCTTCACCCTTCCCTTCCAAGCCTTCCTTCCAACTATGTATGCTAGGCTTCTTCCTTAATGAAGTTACTTGTTCAATTTACAATCTTCATAGCTTGAACATCCCAAACCCCCAACGCATCTCGTCCTTAGGGGCTGGAGAATAAAAATCATCTTGGCCCTTGACTTGAACACTGCGTACTCTTGCAGGCCCACTTGTAACCTCCCCACCGCGTCGCTCGCCCACTGCACCACGCCATCAGCAGCACACCACACCATCACAACCGTGCTTTGTCATAAAGTGACTTGATACATGCTGCTGTTGTGCCAACTGTCGCCTCGCTGGTCCGTCCTACGCAAACTACCTAACACTCGCTCCAACTGCAATTCTATCTGTGGCTCCTCTGTAGGTGTGCACGTTTTGACCGTATGCTACTTTGCTCTTCACCGCTCTTGCAGTTCTGCTCCTGCTCGTGGTTCTGTTGCTCGTCTTCTGCTATTTTTTCCTCCAACTTTGCAGCCTCCCACGCCTTGCGTCTCCTGCTCCTGCCACCTCCTCAGAAACAGCTGAACCGTCCCCACATACCACCTGCATGCATACCTTGAACCACCTGCTGCCTACATCCCACTCTGCCGGCACTTTCAGAAGGAGGTGGAAACTGGGGAGAAGAGACTGCTGACGGCAGGAATACTAGCATCAGTGGTATGGTGGTGACGATGGTGGTTGCGGCTGGTGCGGAAGGGGAGAGATGACGGTAGTTGAGAAGAAGCTTTAGCTTTGCTGCAGCGACACGTGGACTGGATTCCTTGGTTGCTAGGACCAAAACTGTTGTGGGTCGTACGTGTAATAGGTTGCTGCTCTGCTGCTCACTCTTCTCTCCCCCTCTCATGCCCGCGCGGCTGACCGCCTTCACCGCCACCACTGCTG